AGCGAAGTAGAGGAAGAGTCAGCCATGGGAGGGGAGATATTTAGAATTGGGTCTAGATTTTTCCTCCAGAGGGGAAGGGCTGGGGTGAGAGGACTAGAGCTGGTGGGTAAAGGGAACAGGTTTAGAGTCAAACAGAGGGATAACAGTTAAAGCAAGGATCAGAGTCGGGGATTTGCTTGACAATAGAGAACGTAGGAGTTAAAGTCAGAGATCATGGCACTATAGAATTTGCCTCATGACCCATGAGCCTCTGGTCTGGACTATGGACTGTTAGCCTATCACCCACCCATGGCCTGCTTTTGCAGTGTGGACAAGCCTCTTGCGATGGCGGTGTACCAGAGTGAACCAGGTCACGCGGGTGACTGCTGGGCCATTGTATCGATCGTGTGCAAATAAATAAATAAATAAATAATGACTATGACCACAGGAAGGTCATGGGGGAAGAAAGCAATGACCGGCCGGTGTCCCAAGAATGGCCGTTCTTTCCATGGACCCTTTTTTTTGGCTAAGGGGGATTAGCAGAAATTCCCACAGAATTTCCAGATTTTTAAATAAATAAACAGATAGATAGATAAGCAGTCTATATCTTTTACAAAATTGGACCATATCATTCCACAACCTACTTTTACAAATACTTAATTTTTGTTTTCCTCTAAATTGTTGTTGTCTCCCCCCCAACTTTTTATTCAAAAAACTTATCCGAGTTGAAAGAATAATAGTTCAGTGTGCATCCAGATGCTTTTCACCTACATTTGGTCATTGCTGGCACATTAGTGTGTTTGGGCGAGCGTGTGACAGTCCTTCAGCTTGTGGAAGTAGTACAGCCCGGTGGCTGAACGCCGAGTCCGCGGCTCTGTAGCCCGAAGTCAGCTCTGCTGGTTTCTAGCTGTGTGGCTTGACCTTGGTCACTATCTTTAACATCTTGAAGCCTCTTCCCTCATCCCTATAAAATAGGGATGACACCTCGGAAATTTCAGAGGATTCACTAGGATAATGTTAGGCATGTAATAAATTCTCAGTAAATATTGTTTGGGTGCTTGTCTTATCTCTTCACTCAGCATGGAAGTTCGGGACAATCTCATAACTGGTTTCTCTTTAAATCCGTGTACATGACCCTCCTGCGGACCCTGAGCGCTGCTCAGGGACTCACTGTTTCTTTTTTACGTGATTGTCCCACTCATTCTCTTTTCTCCTCAAACCTTTTCTTTTTTTAAGATTTTATTTGTTTATTTGACAGAGAGAGCACAAGCAGGGGGAGCAGCAGGCAGAGGGCGAGGGACAAGCAGACTCCCCACTGAGCAGAGAGCCCAATGCGGGGCTCGATCCCAGGACCCTGACGTCATGACCTGATCTGAAGGCAGACACTTCACGGATGGAGCCACCCAGGCACCCCCAACAAAGTGATTTCCCTAAAACCATGTCAAACCATGTTTCCCTCTGTCCCAAACTTTGTAACGCTTTCCCATCAACTCAGAAAAAAAGTCTAAGCCTTTGCTGTGGTCCAGAGACTTTCATATTCTGGCCGTCCACCCAACTTCCTTCCTTCTCCTCTCTCCCTTATTCACTCGGCTCCAGCCTTGCTGGCTTTCTTACTCTTCCTTGAATAGAGCCAGGCACAAAACCTGCCGCAGGGCCTTTCCATCTCATGTTTCATCCACCTAGAAGGCTCTTCTCCCACACATTCACATGGCTCGCTTCGATGTCATTCAAACCTCTGCTCAAATGTCACTCATCACAGAGGCCTTCCTAGACTACGCTCTTCTATTTTCCTTCTTGAAGCGTGTCACAAACTGGCATCGTTGTTTAATGAGTTCAGGAATTTATTTTGCTCGCTGCTGTGTCCCCTGCGTCTAGAATAATAGTTGGCCCCTGGGAAGTGCCAGTACAGTGGTTGGAGAAATGAATCTGATGTTTCTTCTATACTCGGTTAGTGCCTAGAACTAAACACGAGGAAGTGGTTGATGAATATTTATCAAAATTGGGCTTAAATGGCATAATCTACACAGCATGCTCTAAAATTTATCGACTTCTTAAAGCAGAGCCCTGATACCTGGCAGTCATTCCACCAAGGTTTGCTTCGGTAAAATGAGGGAGGATGCCTTGTACTCCACGGAACTGTTCTAAGGATGAGATACAGAACCTTCGTGAGAAGCCCTCAGTGTCTGTATTTTAGCAAATAGCAAATACTCAGATTGTGAAATGAGTAAACAGACTCCACGTGTACCCAGGAGCCCACGGGATGACTTGGTCTCAAGATGAAGTGTGCTTGAGACAGGAGTGTCCAGATGGAGCAACTCTATTGATACAATTCCGAGGATGGGGAATTACTATTATTTTAACTTGAACTCTCCATCTGGACAGAGAGGCTAGAAAAAACACACATATCAGTTGACTAATCTAATTTCAAATTCATGGCCCTGGACTTAGGAGGGGGCCCCAGTGCTTCCCAGCAATGCTATTACCACCAGTTCCATCACTTTCCTGCTTTTCTTAGACGAGTATCGCAAAACTTTCCCCTTTCTTCAAGACCTCTTCCCTGCTCCTCTTGGATGATGACCTTGTTACCTATTTTACTTCAAAAACAGAAGCAATGAGAAGAGACCTTGTACATGTCCCTACCTGCCTTGCCTCTGGGCCCACAAGCTCTACTTTCCCTCCAGTTACTGTGGGTGATCTGTCCTTATCCTGTTCGGGGCCACCCACTGCTCATGCACTAGATCTCATTCTCTTTCTCCTCCTGCAAGGATCCTCTTTCTGTCCTACAGTTTGTCCTTCTCTACTGAATCATTTTCTTTTTTTCTTTTTTAGATTTTATTTATTTGAGAGAGAGAAAGAGAGTAGGAGCATAAGCAGGGGGGCACAGAGGCAGAGGGAGAAGCAGACTCCCCACTGAGCAGAGAGCCTGACGTGGGATTTGATCCCAAGACCCTGGGATTCATGACCTGAGCCAAAGGCAGATGTTTCACCGACTGAGCCACCCAGGCTCCCCTCTCCTGAATCATTTTCATAAAACACAATCATTCTATAAATTTCTGCCATCTTAAGTCAAATCATCTCATGCCCTGTATCCCCCTCAAATATCCCCCACCCCCATTTTTGGGGAACTTGTTCTCTCTTTGCTGCTTCAGTGTCTCTCCTCCATTTTCCTCACAAACCCATTCTACCCAGACCTTTGCTCCCTTCTTTCACTGTGACTTTTCTTGTCAAAGCCCCCAGTGATTTCCACACAATAAAACCCAGTGTCCAATCCCGGCTTATCTTACTTGGCCCACCTGCTGAATTGGACGCAACCAATCACTCTCTCCTGCTTGAAATAGTTTCTTGACATGCTTTCTAAATCCCTATAATCTCTTGGCTTTCTTCCTACTTGACTTCTCAATTTTCCTTCGTGATTTTTCCTCTTTTTTCTACAACCTCTCATCACTGGAATGACCCAGGATTTGACGCTTTTTCCTTCTTTATCTAATGGTGGTCTCCAGCCTGGTGGCTTTAAATGTCATCCATATGTAAATACAGGCTCATTTCTATCTCTAAGCCAGGTCCTGCTCCCTAACTCCTTTGGGATATCCAGCAGCTTATAAAAACGTCTCCTCTTGAGTGAAAAACATCTTCTCTTTTTCCTTAAACCTGCTGCTCCTGCTGTCTTCTCCATTTCAGGAAATGACAATTCTTTTTGTCTTTTTCTTTTTCTTTTTTTTTTTCCAGTTCTTCAAGCCAAAGACTTTGGAGTCATCCTTGACCACTTTCTCAAAAATGCCACTTATCCCATCACCTAGTCCCTTTGGTCATAGCTTGAAAATATACCCAGGATTGAGGGGTGCCTGGGTGGCTCAGTGGGTTAAGCCTCTGCCTTCAGCTCAGGTCATGACCGCAGGGTCCTGGGATCGAGCTCCGCATCAGGCTCTCTGCTGAGCTGAGAGCCTGCTTCCCTTCCTCTCTCTCTGCCTACCTTTCTGCCTACTTGTGATCTCTGCCTGTCAATAAATAAATAAAATCTTTAAAAAATATATATACCCAAGATCGAACCACGCCTCACCACCCCCGGTGCCCCCTGTGCAGACCCAAGCAACCATGATTTCCTGCCTCGCTCTCTGCAGTAACCTCCTATCAGGTTCTCCTGCTTCCTCCCTCATGCCCTCTTTGTGCAAAGTGATGGTCTCCAGTGCCTTCTCATCTCACTTGTAAAAGTCAGACTCCTTAAGAAGACTCCCAAGATCCTACATCATCTACCCACCCGAGTTCTCTCTGACCAGTCTCTGTCCCCCTTCCTCCTGCTTCCTTCCTTTCTTTACTCCAGCTGCATCGGACTCTTGCTACTCCTCGATAGGCTCCTCTCACTTCCCACGGCTGTCAGCACCTCCTGCCTGGACTCGGGTAACCCTTCCTCCTTTATCTCTTTTAGCCTTTGGCTCAAATGCCACTTTCAGACAGAATTTTCCTGACCACTCTTGGTAAAACTGTATTTCTCCATTCCCACGAGCACTCACTACCTGCTTCCCGGTCTTTCCTCAGCGACACTTATCACCCCCTAACCTAACATTTTGTTTAATATTCTCTCTGTATACTAGAATGTAACCCCATGAGGGCAGGGTTTTTTCTGTTTTGTCCTCTGCAATGTTTCTAGTACCAATAAATGCTTGTTGAATGAGGTTTTTTTTTTAACGATTTTATTTATCTAACAGAGAGGGACACAGTGAGAGAGGGAACACGAGCAGAGGGAGTGGGAGAGGGAGAAGCAGGCTCCCCGCTGAGCAGGGAGTTCAATGTGGGGCTTGATCCCAGGACCCTGGGATCATGACCTGAGCAGACACCTAACAACTGAGCCACCCAGGCGCCCCTTGTTGAATGAGTTTTGAGGACTTTTCTCCCTCTCTCTGATCTTCAGAAGACTGAGGAGTGCACCTGGTAAAAGGAGGACTTGAAAGTGTTGATGATGAGTCTATGGGGACGGCACCTTAATACTTCTATGAACATCTAATACTCTGATTTTTCTTTTCCAGCTGAATACCAAAACATCCCCGGCAACCAACCAGGCACCTGGCCCAGAGGAAAAAGGTGAGTGGTGTCAGGTCTGGTGGTGTGTAGAGCGTGTGAATACAGGGATGGGAGGACAGGTAGGGCCATAAGTCTGGAAGCTCCTAGAGTCGGATGTAGTTGGAATAAGAATGTGGACAAGTGAAACAAAGCACTAGGCAAGAACCACTATACCTGAAGGCATTTTTCCACTTTTTCCTAAAAAGGAAATCTACTGGTATTTACTCCTTGATTCTGGCAATGCTTGGAAACAGGCACCGTGATAGAAGGAAGCTCGTGAGATTATCCAGCCCCTGTCTCAAGCAGAAATTGGGGGAAAGCTGGGTAAAGTCAGTATGCTCTGGGACTTTGAGTTGTAAGACTGAGGAATAAGTGATGATAGATGACATTTGTCCTCTTGGTCTAGGAGTGGCAAAGCTCCTGAGTAAGTTCAGCTACTTCTCAACCTAGGTACCCCGACTCAGTCTTCCAGGACAGTAATCAGACGTTTCTGGTCCTAGCAAAGATCGGAGAACCTCCCAGAGCCTCGCAGGAAATGGACCCTAACCATTGTATATGAGGCCTGGAGAAAGGGGCCGGGGCACTGCAGGTTTACTCATCAGTGACTCTCTCAATGATCTGCAGGGAAAGCTGGCAGTGCCAAGAAGGCTGAGGAGGAGGAGGAGATTGACATTGACCTGACTGCGCCGGAAACAGAGAAGGCCGCCCTTGCCATTCAGGGCAAGTTCCGGAGATTCCAGAAAAGGAAAAAGGATCCCAGCTCCTGAACCACCAGCCTTGCCCTTCACTCTCTCCCTTCTCTCCCCTTCACCGCAGCCTGACTCCTATGTGTCTTTGTCTCTTTGTCCCTCTAGCCTCTTGTTGAGGCAAGTTCAACCCTTATATATTATTTTCTCTGGTCCCCCCTCCTGCCATCACAACAGTAGAGGCTCAAGGAATGTGGGGGAAGATGAAGAATTCAACTGGCAGCCACTTGCCTAAGGGCGGACCCATTTGTCTTTGGGATAAGCCTCCTTGACCAGTAGCCGTGCCTGGCCTGTGAGGTTGAAGAGCAGAGGCTTTAAGGCTGAGAGGGACCCCGGACAGTGCTGGGGGGAGGGGAGAACCTTCAGAGAAGGGTGCCCGAGGGTGGGCCTAGGCATCGTTCCACCAGTTGCAACAGTCACACTTCAGGTAACGTGTTTCTGCTCTTCCGTCCTTCTGCACCAACACACCCACCTTCCCTCCCGTGAGCTAAGCGACAGGGGGGACTGGACCCTCCCTCTGCTCAAGGCAGACCCAGATCAAGCACCTTCCACATTAGTGCATGCTGAGTAGGCGAGTTCCGAGGAAGGGAACGTGGGATGGGTGGAGGCCAGAGGAATTTCCTTCACCGTCCAGTCCAGGACCATTGGGGCAGAGGAAGAAGAGGTTTCAGAGGGGCGCAGGCAGGGAGGTGGGCCTAGAGTAGATTTGGGCATGAAAGAAAGGTAAGGGAGACACCACTACTGCCAGTAAATGTGGACTGGATGAAGGATTTCTGCTACCCTGCCTACCTCTAATCCAGCCGTCCCTAGAGACCACGCCAACCCAGGGACCCCTGTAGTTCCCACCTACCCCACTGTGGAGTCAGAGCAGAGTGGAATAGCCGCTCTGTGATTCGAGCATGTTTAATCATGATTAAAAACAACAAAACAAAACCCCAGTGGGGTCATCTAGCCTCTACTTCTGTTTTTTTCTTGGGACGAATGCGAATGTGGCCTCAGGGAGGGTGGGGCACTGACCGCGTGGACCACACCACAGCACAGGAACCAACACTGCCCAAGCAAGCTCTAGACCGAAACCCATCCCTTCCTCCTTCCCCCCTCCCCTGACCTTGCCCTCCACCTTGATTCACCGCCCACATGGTCTCTGTATGCTGCTGTCACCAGGTCTCTGTATGCGGCTGTCACCACCCCCATGCACACCTGCGAGGCTGCTAGCCGCCTTCCCGCTCGCCTTCCTGCTCCCTTCTGTCTCAAAGCACTCTTGGGATCTATCCCGTGGAAAACAAACCCAACCTTCCTTGCTCCCTATCCCCAAATGACCCGCACTCGCTGTCCCTCCTGCTTTGTTTTCCTCCCACACTCCCTCTCCCTCCCACTGTTTCTCTAACTTAGGGGAAGGAGAAGAAGACTCTGGGTCAGTAGAGAACACCACTGTCATGCTGAAGATTTTAAACCATGAGTTAAATAAAATGATGGCATTCCAGGGAGCTCACACTGCTGAGAACTGGTCTCTACATTGAGACCGGAAGCTGAATCCTGGAAGATCAAGCAAGAAAAGCTCATTCTCACACACTCTCTTCACTTCTTAGCATTCACCCTTCCTTTCCTGATTCAAGAATACAGGAGCTGAGGGGCCTCAGGGTGGCTCTGTCTGTTGAGCGTCCGACTCTTGGTTTTGGCTCAGGTTCTGATCTCGGGGTTGTGGGATCGAGCCCCTCTATGGAGCTCTGTGCTCAGCGGGGAGTCTGCTTGAGATTCTCTTTCTCCCTCTCCCTTTGCCCCCCTCTCTCCCTTGCTCTCAAATGAATAAATAAATGAATAAACAAAATCCTAAAGTAAAAAAAAAAAATGCCAATGCTGAAACCACGTAGCGGCTGGGCGTAGGAAGCAAGGGACAATAGCCCTGGAAGGAAACCTATACGTGGAAGTTGACCCTTGCCTAGCAAGCCTGTGGCTGTAGGATATGCCATGGACATGAGATGGGTGTTGGCTGTGCCTCGCCTGGGTCTGGCCCTGCGGACACTGAGGTAAGATAGGTGCTCCCTGTTCCCAGCGATCCGGGCTTCTGAGAGCTGGGGTGCTAAGGCAACAGCAGGGTTCGCCATCAGCCCGCTCCCGTTGGCTCTGTTGCATGGGGGGTTATCGGCCTTTTGGTTTTTTTGCCACACTGATCTGGAGCACGGTGCTGAAATATTTTTCAGCGTGTTTTTTCAGCCTTCACCATTTTTTGCTTTAGAAGCATTACACTTGCCCTCAAGACGTCTTTTAAAAGAAAGGGCATTGTAGCAAAACTGCAGTCTGTAGATTTGGGCAAGACGGTTCTAACCAGAAAGATTTGGGCATCTTTCACGGAGCCAGTGGTAGTTCTCAGTAAAGGTTCTGGAAGGTAGTTCCTCTGGGCCAGTCTGCTTATTCTGGCTGCGCGGGACTCGAATTGACCCTCTTCTCCTCCCGTAGCTCCTCCTTGGCACCCTGGGCTTGGGCTGGGAGCTCTTGCATAGATCCCTAGAGCCCTATTTCTCTTCCCTGTTCCTCTGGTTCCTGCCGCTTGAGACACAATCCTGGAGTATCCGTCAGTAAGGAATTATTCTTGGGTGCTTTGATTTGTGGAGCAGAAACTGCAAGTCTGTGGGGATTGGTGAGTGCTCTTCTACTACATGGCTTAGCAGAAGAGGCAGGCAGAAACAGTCAAGGGGAAAAAAAGCAAATTCAGTTGTCACATGTCTTATCACTGATATGCCTTTCGGTGCTTTTCCATCTGTGTTGGGAGGGTGGTCGAGCTGGGAGGATGACCCTGACGGAAGTGGAAGAGGTCTGGAGATCTGAGCAGGGGTGGTACTTCGGAATATGTCCCCAGAGCTCAGAATTGAAGGTGAAGATTTTGGGAGAAATTCAGGCAGCTAAAGGGAACAAGGATCCTGCTTCCTGGGACAACCTACTTTCAGGGACTTGGAGTCCTTGCTGGGAAGGACTCTTGACTTCTCCTTGATCTGGTCCCAGTATAGAGGCAGCTTTCCCATGTCCATCTCTTTCTCTTGCACTTGACTCCTGCCCTAATGTCCTTTTGGGGAGCTGCCCTTCCTGCCCAATTCTGCCTCTCTCTGCCCCTCTTGCCCTTGCTGTGTTTCCTTTATTTCTGGGGCTGTTTGCAGTGTGCGTGTGTGCGTGTGTGTGTGTGGGGGGGCTATTCTTGGGAGCGACTTTGTTCCTGCTGTACTTGGTCCCTGAGACCCAGCCCTTATGGGAATCACTCTCCAGTGAGCTGTTCCTTCCTGTTCTTCACCATCTTCTCTCCAAATGCAGCACTTCTGCTGCCTGTGCCTCTGAAGACCGAGGGTTCAGAGGTCGGGAAGTTTGTTTCTTTTCTGGTCTTTTGGATAGCTGCTCAGACTCGAGATCTACAAAGGCAGAGACTCACAGTCCATAGATGGTCAGAAAGTAAGTCCTTTCTCAAGGGTGCAGGAGACACTTCCTTATTCCCTTCTGGACCACGTCCCTCCTCCACCCAGCCTTGTTAGCGACAGCCCTCCCTCTTCCATCCAGCATTCTATTTTTCCCTTAGTGTGATGATGATGTTGATGGTGATGATGATGGTGGTAATTGGCCTTTCTTACTCCCCAGTCACCTAGACCTTCAAAGAATGAAATAAGGGAGCCATCTCTGTTAGATTAGCTGCGAGTGTCCTTACTCACACGTAACTCCGTCAGCTTCAGTTTCTTCGTAGTTGGGGTCCTTAGGAATGCTCATCCCCCAGTTTGGGGTACTCCTTAGCCTAATGCTCCCTGAAAGGCATGAATGGTGATGACCATGTTAGTATCTAAGATTTGTAAATCACTACGTGCCAGGCACTTTTACATATATCAACTCACGTAATTCTTAGACCCCTATGACATAGATACTATTATCCCCATTTTACACATGAAGAAACTGAGGCACAGAGAGATCAAATAACCTTTCAAATTAAAGCGAATGGTGGAGCAAGGACAGGAATGGCAGTCTGGCTCTAGACTCTGCTCCTTGTACCACCTTGGGGAGGGACTGGCTGAGTGGAGGCAGACAGCCCGGAAGGCATGGATGTTGTCCAGCCAAGCCTGAGGGTAGGGCTTCCCTTAGCTGAGCTCAGGCATATCTACTTGGTCTCTTGCGGCCCACATAGGTAAGATCTGGATCCTCCCTGACCCCCCGCCCTCCTTCCAGGGAAGGACCATATTTGGCTTTCCCTGACTGCTCTGCCAGCCTCCAATCTAGAATTCCATCGATCCCACCGATCTTATCCGGTTCCTTCCCTGGTGCTGGATGGCCTGAAACGGAGAGTGAAATGGGTCTCAGAACTTGGGAGGTAGGGCTGGTATATGGGCCTAGGAAGGAGGGAGGGTCCACAGGCTCACACGAAGTCTGAGGGTGAGGAGATGAGGGCATCGTGAAAGGAAACCCAACTCTTCCTTAACTCACGGGAGGGTTCCAGGTCCCATGTGGTCCCCTCAGCCACTTTGCAACAGGGGGATGTACTGCCCTCTAGGGGATGTTTTGGAAATCCGTGAGGGTCATTTTTTTGTTATCTTCATCTATGGGGGGTTGGGTGGGCATGGAGGAGGGTCTCCTGGTATTATCTCGTGTCTTGGGGCCAAAAATGCTAGGGTACTGCAGTGACCAGGACAGTGCCAAGCAAAATGCTGCACATCTCACGTGTCTTTTAAGAGTCCCACCGGATAGCAGTGTAGGTGAGTGACCCCTTATCTGAGGGATCCTTGGACTCAGCTTCATTTTACATATGAACACAAAGTATTTTTTGAGCCATTTTAAACACTGCATTTCCTAGAAATGCTTCTAATGTGTAGATTGAAGGAACTTATCATTTGCTTTGTTCAGAACTTTTACTGAGAGTTGCTTACCATTTCAGAAACCTGTGTCACCCAGGACACTGCTGCCCGTGATATTTGAGTGCCTGATACTTGTGCATCTTTTGCTGTCGTGCTCACAAGGATTCTGTATTGGGTTCAAGGCTCTGACTACTATATTATATGTGTAGTCATGCCTGACGTGACTTATTAAAATGCTTTCCATATTTGGGGTGCCCAGGTGGTTCAGTTGGTTATGATACTTTCCATTTTGTTATAAATTAATTTTTTATTTCACCTTTATAATACAGTTAGAGTATTCAATTTACCTTTTGAAAGTAGGTATCTAGTTTGTATTGCATATGACTATTGTTCAGGAGAAAAAAAGGGGGCGTTGGACTGAGGAGGTTGGGAACTATTGCCCTAAGCCTTTGGAAAGCCAGCACTAGCCCAAAGAGTCAGGACACTGTCTTTCTTCTGCTTCCACACCTTTTCTCTCTAACAGAGATCCCCAAAGCTTCCAGCTAAGCTGTAAGTCTTTACCATGGGCGGAGCACTTGGAAAGGGACCACAAGATAAAGAGCGGGGGGCTCACCTGTGAGTCACACTTACTGCCTAGAAAGGAAAGCCTTTGCAAGACAAAATGTTCATGTCTGTGTTGTGATGGTGTTGAATTGTGAAGCAGACAGTGACAGACTGAGGTCCGGACCAGTGGATGGTGAGTTAGATCCTCCTCCCTGAGTACGTTCTTCCTAGAGAAGTTCCTCCACTTCCTTCAACTGAAAAGAAAGGAAAAGTGACAGAGGTAGAGAATGGTGAGGAACTAGCCTAGTGACATGGCTTACATATATTCTCAATGTCTTCTTTGAAAGTCACCATAAGATAGCTATTAACTTAACAAAACTCAAGGGTTTGAGGTCAAATGGT